ATTCGTCAAGTGCATAGAACAGCAGGCTAGCACGTTGCGTTTGTCGCTTCGGGTATTTCCAGAATTCCCACCAACGCACAGCCAAATACCAAGCAAGCCTTTCGTGAGAGTAGACGTGCAGTGGCACGGATGAGTCGTCAACCGTCATCGAAGTTGCAGTCAGCACGAGAAGACCCGCAGGCATCACCACTGTGGAGGCTCTGGGAGCCTCCTGGAGCCATCTTTGGGACTTCCTCCTGGGCGTCTTAGGGGGACTATCTTGGGACTTCCTCCTGGGCTATCTTGGGACTTCCTCCTGGGGTCCCCCGTGGGCGTCTTGGAGCTATCTTGGGACTCCCTCCTGGGCGTCCTGGGGGCCTTTGTGAGCCCCCTCTTGGGGCTCGCCCGTGCCCCCTCAGACGCGCTTGGGAGCCTCGCTTGGAGCCGTCCTGGATGCCTGAAGCCGTCCTACACCACCTGCGCTCCCGGGGGCCCGGGCACTCAAGGAGAGACAGGGAATTTCTCTCCCAAGCGAAAGGGAGAGAAGGAAGCAGCAAACCACTGGTACACTCCCAGGGTTTCCGTCCCTCGTGGGGCCATCTCACAGCCATCGTTGGGCCATCCATGCCCTCTCGGAGCCACACTGAAGGCCGTCTGGGCCATCGTGGGGGCAACCTTGGGCTACGCAGGGAGATATCGGAGCCACCCAGGGCCGACTTCAACGCTGTGCCCCACCCTCGTGAATTTCACCCTTGCAGCCTCCTGGACCGCCATGGTGTAAGCGGGTCCTGACGGAAACGGGCCCTCGATGTGTTTTCCCAACCATCCCGTGGTGTTGGGTCCTCGTTTTTGATCTGCGGCGCCCCGCGCCCGAGTGCCGTGCCATTTTCCCGTCAACCTTCTATATGCTGTCCCGCCCGAGAGCGGTTTCCGCCCCCCCCCCCCCCCGCAATTGTTGTTTCCATTTATCGCTTCTCTCGTTGTTCCCTTCCGCTGTCTCGGGCCTCGGAACTGTTTTTTGTCGCCTTGTTCCCCACATGTTTCGTGGGGTTCTGGTTTTCTTTTCCGCCGCGTCTCACCCGCGTTTCTCCTCCTCATTCGTTTCCCGCCTCGTCTCGCGCCCACACGCCCACATACACATGATACGCACGCTCACATACAGCCGCACACGCATCATGGGCACCCACATGAGACACGCGTGCAGAATACGGCACACCGACACAGACACATACACACAGACACACAGACACACACACACACATACACAAACACACACACAGACACACATACACTCCCTCACCCACGCGCAACGCCTGCACGGCACGTACATGAGACATGCGTAGCACACTTCACAACACAGCGCAGCGCAGCACAACACAACGCTGCTCAGCACAGCGCAGCTCAGCTCCGTCGCACGCTCGCAAAGCGCGGCAGGCGTGGTAGTTCATCGACACGAGAGAGGGGGCGGCCGCTATCCGTGCCAGTCCTTTAAGCATAGCAGGCGTGGCACTTTCTCGACACCATAGGGGGTGCGCAGGGGGTGTTCCCTGAGCGCGGGCGCTATACGTTCCAGTCGTCCAGGCATAACAACCGGGGCACTTTCTCGACACCATAGGGGGTGCGCAGGGGGTGGTCCCTGAGCGCGGCCGCTATCCGTGCCAGTCGTCCAGGCATAGCAGGCGTGCGAAACCACAGGGGGTGCGCAGGGGGTGGTCCCTGAGCGCGGCCGCTATCCGTGCCAGTCGTCCAGGCATAGCAGGCGTGGCACTTTCTCGACACCATAGGGGGTGCGCAGGGGGTGGTCCCTGAGCGCGGCCGCTATCTGTGCCAGTCGCCCAGGCAGAGCAGGCGTGCCATTTTCTCGACACCATAGGGGGTGCGCAGGGGGTGGTGCTTAAGCGCGGCCGCTATCCGTGCCAGTCGTCCAGGCATAGCAGCCGGGGCACTTTCTAGACACCATAGGGGTGCGCAGGGGTTGTTCCCTGAGCGCGGCCGCTATCCGTGCCAGTCGTCCAGGCATAGCAGGTGTGGTACTTTCTCGACACCATAGGGGGTGCGCAGGGGGTGGTCCCTGATAGAGTAGCGCACTTTCTCGGGGTGGTCCCTGAGCGCGGCCGCTATCCGTGCCAGGCGTCCAGGCATAGCAGGTGTGGCACTTTCTCGACACCATAGGGGGTGCGAAAGGGTTGGTACCCGAGCGCGGCCGCTATCCGTGCCAGTCGTCCAGGCATAGCAGGTGTGGTACTTTCTCGAAACCACAAGGGGTGCGCAGGGGGTGGTCCCTGAGCGCGGCCGCTATCCGTGCCAGTCCTTTAAGCATAGCAGGCGTGGCACTTTCTCGACACCATAGGGGGTGCGCAGGGGGTGGTCCCTGAGCGCGGCCGCTAGCCGTGCCAGTCGTGGCACTTTCTCGACACCATAGGGGGTGCGCAGGGGGTGGTCCCCGAGCGCGGCCTGTATCCGTGACGGTGTCGGCCTCCATCCGTGACGGTGTTGCTCAGGGCACATGGGTACGCAAGTTTGCTATCCGTTCCGGTCGCGTTCAGGGCACAGGGGAATGCTGGCGAGGTAAGTGTTCGTATCATCGAACATGTGTAGCCACCTTGGCTCATGTCGGCTCAGGCCGTTCGGGTTTGCACGCAGGCGTGCTCGCGCCGGTGATTGTTCGTCAAAGGTGCGGCGCCCGCCATGGCGCCCAAATTTGCCATGTCCGCGCTGCCGCCTCCGTGCGAGCAGCTCAAGAACACAATGCTAGAAGTGGACGCCGAGGTGAGTTTAGAGGGTTTACGCGCGCATGTTGAGAGCGACAGCTTCTAAACTGGTGGTCCGAGACGTTCCTCGGCAGGGACAATGAGTTGCCGCGAACCAAAGGCGCCGACGATGCTAGGAGGCAGTGCTTGATTAGGTTCTTGTTGAAGCAGTCGTAGTAGTAGTAGTAGTAGTAGTAGTAGTAGTAGTAGTAGTAGTGGTAGTGGTAGTGGTAGTGGTAGTGGTAGTGGTAGTGGTAGTGGTAGTGGTAGTGGTAGTGGTAGTAGTAGTGGTAGTGGTAGTGGTAGTGGTAGTGGCAGTAATACTACGACTGGTACTAGTACTAGTAGTAGTAGTAGCAGTAGTAGTAGTAGTAGTAGTAGTAGCAGCAGTAGTAATAGTAGTAGTAGTAGTAGTAGTAGTAGTAGTACTACTACTACTACTAGTAGTAGTAGTAGTAGTAGTGGTAGTAGTCGTAGTAGTGGTAGTAGTGATAGTAGTCGTAGTACTAGTACTCGTACTCGTAGTACTACTAGTAGTAGTTGTGGTACTATTAGTACCAGTCTTACTAGTGATAGTAGTAGAAGTAGTGGTAATAGTAGTAGTAGTAGTAGTAGTAGTAGTAGTAGTAGTAGTAGTAGTAGTAGTGGTAGTCGTCGTCGTCGTCGTAGTAGCTGTAGTCGTAGAAATAGTAGTAATCGTAGTACTACGAGTAGTCGTAGTAGTGGCAGTGGTAGTGGTAGTGGTAGTGGTAGTAGTGGCATTGGTAGTCGTAGTGGTAGTGGTAGTGGTAGTGGTAGTCGTAGTAGTAGTCGTAGTAGTAGTATTAGTAGTAGTGGTAGTAGTAGTAGTCGTAGTCGTAGTCGTAGTAGTAGTAGTAGTAGTAGTAGTAGTAGTTGTAATACCAGTAGTATGAGTGGTACTAGTAGTACTAGTACTACGAGTGATAGTAGTAGAAGTAGTAGTAGTAGTAGTAGTAGTAGTCGTCGCCGTAGTAGTAGTGGTAGTACTAGTAGTCGTGGCAATAGTAGTAGTAGTAGTAGTAGTAGTAGTCGTCGTAGTCGTAGTAGTACTAGTAGTAGTGGTAGAAGAAGAAGTAGTAGTAGTAGTAGTAGTAGTAGTGGTAGTAGTAGTAGTAGTAGTAGTAGTAGCAGATGCTGTTGTTGTTTTGGTAATACGATTAGTGCCGATGGTACACGCAGGAAATAAAATAGGTATGTGGGGGGTGCCTCGGTCGCGTAATTTTGTCGTTGCCGATCCCCGTTTTCTTGTTTGTTTTCCCTCGGGAAGGGGGGTCCCCAGACTGAGTGGGGGTGACTGATCTGGGGGTTCAGAGGCCGCGCACATCGGCCCAACACTCACCATCTTGCGCAATGAATGGAATTCGGCGCGCATCTGCAGATCTCCGCACCCGTCCAACACCCCACCATCCAGACCAATCAAATGTATGGTATTGTGCCCGTTGAGTCCCCCCATATGTACTGTATTGTATGGAAGCTCAACATACGGCCCCAGTGAGCGCGACCGCATCGCGTCCTTGAGGACATGTTTGCATACCCCTCACACGCTATGTGCCCCCTTTGGAAAACTCCACCGACGGCCTCACTGGGCGCGACCGCTTGGCGTCCCCAATCGCATGTGTGGCACACCCCTCATGTGCGTCGTCCCTCCCATGGCCCCAGGAAACGTCCCGAAGCGGTTCAGGATGACGATTGGGCCAAGAAAGAGAAAGAGACAGAGAGAGAGATAGAGAGAGAGAGAGCCTCCGGAGTCCAGGACCCGTCGTTTTCAATACATGTTGTTTTGCTTTTTCTTCTTAAAAAAGAAGAAGACTTTTCTCGCGATGGGCCACACATGGTTTCTTTTCAGATGAGTTCACCCGCTAAACCACGTCCTCCCAGGGGAGGTCTGGCGGGAGTTGCATGGGCAGCCCCCTGACTCCTACCACACTTACACGGACCGGTCAACCAGCAGGAGGAGGGAAGGGATGGGGCGAGGAGGGAGCAAGTGAAACCCGATGAGGAGGACCAGGAACAGTAGGCGGTCTGTAACCAGTTTGGCTCAAGTGGTGCCCCCCGAACCGCGGCATCGGAGGGAGTGGCACCCAATTCCAGATCGAACGAAGCAGACCAGTCCACCCAGCAGCGATGAAGCTGATCTTGGACCTCGCCCTCGCCCTCGCCCTCTGTGCGCCTGGCCGCGCTGCCCTGCTCCGCTCTGGCGCGGCCGACGCGGCGCAGCGAGTCGATACCAGCACCAGCCTACGCGCGAAGGTGGGCTACATGGTGCAGGGCATGCTGCAGAGGAAGCACACCACCACGCGGCACATCGCGAATACGGTGCACAAGAAGATGAAGTTGAGCGACGCGCTGCCGATGTTGGAGGACAAGCTGCCCAAGGATGTGACGTCCCTGCTGCACCTGTCGAACGGGGAGCACGCGGCGGCCGCGGGGCAGTTCAGCGAGGTCTCGTTGGCCAAAGGACGCGTGTACTTGAACAACATGATGTATGACGCGTGGCTCCAGCTGGACCAGATCGAGGTCGAGTGCAAGGAGTTCGAGGAGAGCAACCGCATGGTGTTCAGCCAGGTGGTGACAGACCTGGACCACTTGGGCTCGGACCTCGCCGACAAAGAGCGCATGAAGAGTGAGGCCGAAGGGGGCACCGCCGACATGCAGACTCGGATCAACAGCCTGGAGGGCGCCCTGGATACGCTGAAGCGCGGCTTCCAGTCAACCCGCGAGAAGAACGCGTACGAGCTCTCGCTTCGCCAGGACGATCAGGATGTCTTCACCGCCATCCTGCAGCTGTCCAAGTGCCCAAACGCCTACGGAGACGACACGTACTCCTTCGCGCAGCAGTTCCAGGTTTGCGACACGGACAAAGGCACTGAGTTGGTGGTAAATGATTCTTCCATGGCAGCGAAGCTGAAGCGGTCGCCGCGGGTGCAGAAGGTGCTCGAGGAAGTCCTGGGGGCCGCCGAGTCAGGGGCGCCCTCGCTGCTGCAGATCGCTCAGGCGCCCCCGCCGCAGAGGGTCAAGCAACCGACGGGCGGCTCGAGGAAGTGTCTGAACGGCATTGTCAACTGCGGTTACCTCCACGACATCATGGCGCTGGAGTGGGGCAAGTTCAAGGACTTGGTGGACGAGCTGACCTACATCATGCAGCGTAACCGCGACGCCTACGAGGGCGAGAAGGAGAACACGAACGAACAGATCGCGACGCTGAGGTCGAACAAGATGAAGTTCACGGAGATGCTGGGGGAGGCCATCTCCGAGATCAATTCGCTCACGGCGGCGACGCGCGAGAAGCAGCAGCAGCACCGCGACATCGAGCGTGCGTTCACGATCAAGATGGCGGATTGCAAGAAGCGCATGAGCGAGATCCTCTACACGAACATCTGCGGGACTCGGACCGTGCGCAACGCGCTGATGCGGTACAGCGCAGTCTCGCCCACGCACTCGATCAAGGACTGCGACGTGACAGACTGGTCCTCGGGGCCGTGCACCGCCGACGGCAGGGGCAACTCACGATCGGTAGACTGCGACGACAGCTGCCCGACCGACGTCGGGGGCGTCGACGTCGACACATGCGGTGGCCTGAAGTATCTCACCAGGCAGGTCATCATCTCCCCGAACTCTTTCGGCATGGCGTGCCCCCCTTTATACTTCGAGCGCACGAACGGGACCGTCGGCATGAAGTGTAACCAGTTCCACTGCCCAGTCCACTGCTCCATGTCCGAGTGGTCCGGCTGGTCCGGATGCTCCAAGGAGTGCGGGGGCGGCGCCCAGGGAAAGACTCGTTCCATCCTCGTGAAACCCAAGAACGGTGGGACGGAGTGTGACACCACACTCGAGGAGCAGCCGTGCAACACTGGTTCGTGCGACCGCGATTGCACGCTCATGCCGTGGACTGCGTGGGAGCCTTGCTCGATGGCTTGTGGCGGTGGCATCCAGGAGCGCGTGCGGAAGGTGGACATCCCCATCCGCGCGAACGGCAAGTGCCCAGGGTCGAAACACCCCGACCGCTTCCAGATGCAGGAGTGCAACACCCAGGATTGCGTTGGTGACGAGATCTGCATCGCCAGGCAGGACCTCGTCATTGCGCTCGACGGCAGTGGCTCCGTGAAGCAGGAGGGCTTCGACATTATCAAGAATTTCGCCCTGAACCTCACCAGCAAGTACCAGAGCACATATTACGGCGTGGAGGACATGCGCATCGGGCTGGTGTTGTTTGGGAACGGCGAGTACTTCGACAACGGCACCGTCGCGCCGGCCCTGGAGGTGGTCTCGATCACCAGCGACCTTGATTCCGTCAGCACAGCGATCGAAGAGCTGCAGTGGCAGCGCGGCTTCACTAACATGATGCAGGCCCTCCAGGTGGCCGACAACATGTTCGCGGACGGCCGGGACGACGCTCAGAGCGCCATCATGATGATCTCGGACGGCAAGTGGACCAACGCGTACCGCACGACCATGTTGGCAACGGCGATGAAGGACAAGGGCGTGCAGATCTTCATGGCCCCGATCGCCGAGACCACGACGCAGAATCTGGTAGTGCTCAGGGGCTGGGCGAGCGATCCGTGGGAGACCAACTACGAGCGCATCCCTGGCCTCACGGCGCTCGTCAACAACGAACCGGAGTACGCCCAGAAGTTGCTGGTGAAGTTCTGCCCCCGTGCGTTCTCGCCGTCGGCCAAGTTGGAGGAGGAGCAGCAGCAGGGCTACCTCAAGATCCATGAGGAGGGCTACCCCTCTGCCAGCTGCGGCCCGTGGAGAGACATGGGCAGGGTCGACTCCGTCGAGGCCTGCATGGAGAAGGTTAAAGAGGCGGGTATCCTGGCCTTCGCGTACCAGGAAGGGGGTCGTATGGCAGGGACCTGCTTTACGGAGGCGATCGACGTCACCGATGACTTGTGGAACCAAGCGGTCGCTTCCCGCGTCGACCTGTCGTGTCCAGGCGGCGCCTGGGTTTTCAACGAGTACGCCTCCACCTACATCATGAACCCGAGCATGTTCGGAGACCTTTTCGACGAGTGAGCTGTCCTGGGTGCCGTGCTGCAGTGCTTCCACAGGTTTGCGAAGAATGCCGCACATCTGCTGTACAGGCTCGCCTCTTGTGTCTGAATTGCCCACGTAGTAATTACCCTGCATTTGCAAAATATTCTGTATTTGCTTAGAATTACAGACTAGCACGTTACTCTTGTCGCTTCGGGCAGTCTAAAATTCCCACCGGCACACGCACAGCTGGATGCCACGCAAGCTTTTCGTGGTCACCGAAGTTGGAGTCAGCCCGAGAAGACCCCCAAGCATTACCAAGTTGGAGACTCTGGGAGCCTCTTGGAGCAATCTTGGGACTTCCTTTGGGGCGTCTTGGGGGCCTTTGAGCCCCTCGTTGGGCTAGCCCGTGCCCATTCAGACGCGTTTCGGAGCCCCCCTTAGAACCATCCTGAATGCTTGAAGCCGTCCTTCACCATTGCGCTCCCTGGGGGCCCGGGAACTTGCCTCATTGGATTTCCCTGGTCTTGTTTTGCGCTGCCAGGGGGGGCTCTACGAGGGCTCGTGTGAGCCCCCTTCGTGAGGCCATCCTGTGGCCTCGGGGGAAAATCGCAAGCGAAAGGGAGAGAAGGAAGCAGCAAACTATTGGTACACTTCCATGGTTTCGGTCTCTCGTGGGGCTCAGGCGCCATCTCACAGCCATCTTTAGGCCATCCATGCCCTCTCGGAGCCACATTAAATGCCGTCTGGGCCATCGTGGTGGCAACCTTGGGCTACGCAGAGAGATATCGGAGCCACCCAGGGCCGACTTCAACGCTGTATCCTCGTGAATTTGAAACGGGCCTCGAGGTGTTTTCCCTACCATCCCGTGGTGTTGGGTCCTCGTTGTTGATCTGCAGCGCCCCGCGCCAGAATGCCGTGCCATCTTCCCGTCAACCTTCTATGCTGTCCCGCCCGAGAGCGGTTTATGCCCCCCCCCGCCGTTGTTTTTTCCCTCTCGTGCTTGTTGATGTTTCTTTCCGCTGTCTCGGCCCTCTGAACTTACACCGCACTCACTTCTATACCCCTGGGTGGGTGTATGTGCGGCCGTTTTTGCGCCGTCGTGTGCGTGCATGTGCGCAGCATGTGCCCTGCATGTGCCCGGCATGTGCGGGCGCTTTTAGATGGATGTCCTATTGTACGCACGTGCCCGGGCATGTGCGGGGTTATGTGCAGTGTGTTTTGGTGCATTCATGCACATGCCCGCGCATGCCGACGCACATGCCAGCACATGCTGAACTTATGTCAACATCGCAGACCGGTCAATTGCACATGCTCGCACATGCCTGCGCACCCCCCCAGCGGATGACCGCGCCCGCACTTGCGCGCACATGCCGATGCACATGCACGCACATGCCCGCACAGCCGGATATTGTGCGAACATCGCAGATCGGGCATGTGCGAACATGCTTTCAGAGTTTTCCAGACTTTGCACCGGACTGTGCATCGGATTGTGGCATGTGCTCGCATGTGCGGCACTGTTGAAGTTTTTGTAGAGTTGCATGGGCATGTGCATTCTTCTGTGCGGCATGTACCCGCATTGTGCTGGCCCCTCCAGATTTCAATTTGAATGTGAGCACTATAGAAGTGAGCGCTATAGACATGATTCCGGTGTATTTGTTGTTGCTGCTCTTGTTTCGGTTGCGCCTTGTTTTGTCCCTCGGGAGTGGTCCCATTCCTGAGTGGGGGTGACTGATCTGGGGCATCAGGGGCCCGCGCACATCGGCCCCACACGCACCATCCTATACCAGTCAGTTCGGCGCACGTCTGCTCATCTCCACTCATCCAAACCCCACCATCCCTGGCCAAACATATCTTTCGGTGGACATCGGCTGATCGTCACAACGGTCCGACACCCACCATCCTATACCAAGCTGATCATTCTGTGCATACATGTGGATCGCCAGACGCACCCAGCCTTCACGATCCATCGCGATACGGCGATACATATCATGTGGTGGGCACCAGATGATCTCCACAGCGTGATCCCAGGTCCCCCACACGCTACCACACGCCCGCAGTTGTTCGCAGGCGCTCCGACAGTTCCCGTAGCGTTCCCACACGCGCCGTCGCTACCAGCAACAGCATCCACATCCTCATGTTCACCGTCCTCGTCGCTTCAGGAGGCGCCAAGAAGCATATGAATGTGATAGCATTGGCGCGGTCAGATGTTTGATAGGCCGATCCTGTGGGAAGGGATGGAAGCAGGGACTAGGTGCGCCCCAAGATCGCCCCGAACAGGCCCAGGTGTGCTCCGCAAGTGTGGAGGATGCAAGACTGAGTTGGCGCGATAAGAGGATATGTCGGTCTTACAAGAGGTTTAGGGCGGGAGGGGTTGTTCCGCGCAAACTCTTGCGCGCGCGAACCCTAACCCCAACAACCTGACGTGACCCCAACATGTTCTCCAATATTTTATCCTGACAGTTAAC